GCTCAGGATCAGAATAGTTCATAAATGATTGATATATATATATATATATATATATATATATATATATATATATATATATATATATATATATATATATATATATATTATCCAGATTATTTTCCAGCTTATTCAAGATGACCTTCGCCAACTCTAAAAGTCTAACTTTACGTCCTGGGGTAACAAGGTGCCTCACACGTTTCACGTACGATTTCGTTTTCAAGATTTTTTCGCTGCTCTTTGGATTGTCATAGCTGAAACTCCTCTCTGACATGCTAAGCGTCTTATGGATTGAGTTGGATCTTTTCTAATTGATCTCTTTATTTCTAAGTTAAAATGATGATCCCTCTTCCTGTTGTGAACTCCTGATCCAGTTTTCCTCGCTACTGTTCCCTCTTTTTGGAACTTATTCACCGTTCTCTTGATGGTTCTTAAATGAAAATGAAAAAAAGAGTATAAATTTTAGCACCATTACTGAAGTCCTGAATGATCTTTTTCCTCTCGCCATTGCTCGTTTGGGAAGAACGTGGAGCTGACGCAAAACGATTTTAAACTGTTCTATTTCTAGCTGAATAATTCAAAGAGTTTTTCGATGATTCTTACGAAAAATGGTGTCAAGGTGGGTAAACGTCTTAGTTGAAAACCTGCAAAAAAGAAACTCAATAAGTTTAGTGTTTTTTTTAGATATTAAACATTTTGAGTGATGGAAATTTGTCACGTGCTTTTACATGATTTTGTTCTCAAACCCGGTATATATATATATATATATATATATATATATATATATATATATATATGTGTGTGTGTGTGTGTGTGTGTGTGTGTGTGTGTGTGTGTGTGTGTGTGTATATTGTGTATATTTAGGCATATATATATATTGTGTATATTTAGGCATATATATATATGTGTATATATTGTGTATATTTAGCCACCAATTTTTCATTAATGTATGTTTCATTAAATAATATAGACAAGTTTTGTCTATTTATTTTAAGTAAGTTCCTTTCATATTGTCTGATAAGCTTAATAACATTATCATTGAAAG